ACCTGGCAGGCCATGTGAGAGAGGGGAATGAGATTTTAAGGCAGACAGATCCGGGTTTGGATCCTGCTTCACTTAGCAGCTGTGTCACTTTAGGCAAGTTACTGAACCTCTCTGAACCGTAGTGCTCTCACCCGTAGAGCAGGAATAATAGTATCTACCTTACCAGAGCCAGCACATCCCTGGTGCATTGGAAGTAGGGACTCAGGAAATGCTGGTCACTATTACTACCTGTAGTTTGTGGGAATTATTTTTATTTGGTAACTGTCATGGGATTAAAAAAAAAGATTATTTGAGAGAGAGAGAGAGAGAGAGAGTGCAGGGGAAGGGGGCAGAGGGACAGGGAAAGAGAGAATCTCAAGTAGACTGCCCACTAAGCGCAGAGCCCGACCTCACGATCCCAAGATCACAATCTGAGCTAAAGTCAAGAGTCCAACGCTCAACCGACTGAGCCACCCAGCGTCCCCTGTCATGGGATTTTAAATAAGGATTGAAAGTTTCTTTCTCTCCTTTCCAGTTAAGGCTTATTTCTCAACTGATCCTTTCTTCTTTCCGAGGCACCAAATAAGTTCCTAGGTCAGGGAATCTCCTAGTTACAGCTTGTTGGCCTGCCCTGGGGAGCTCCCTCAACTGCGTGTTCCCACACTTCTCCTGTTCTCGTCTTATTAGCCTGGGCAAGAGGGAGCTTCTGCCTGAGAAAGAGCGGGAGTCTTCTCAGCTCATTGACTTGGTTAATAAGCAGAAGGCCTCATTCAGCAGAGAGGGATCCAGGGATTCCAGCTTTTGACAAGCTGGGCCAGGAGGAATTTGGAAGGAGATGCTGAAAACACACCAATTCCCAGAACCCTGCATATAGGATCTAGCAAGTTGCAAGTTCCACTTTAGAAAGTACATTTTGCACAACGACCTTTCTCTGCTTGTCAAATATTTGCTCAACCTGATACCCTAGCTCCAGGTTTCAGCAAAAGTGGTCCAGCTGTTTACATATTTGACAATTGCTAACATAGTTTTAATAAATGATTAACCCAAATGCTGAGCTGGACCTCACTTCCCTAGCTCAGGTTTCATCAAGGTGTTGAAGTTGGGTACTGGTCAAGTTTGAAAGATCTGCCTAGATGTTTGGGGGCAAGGGAGTGAAAAGTGATTCCTCTAGCGTCAGCCCCAGGGGCAAAACTGTAAGAAGATAAAGTTTATCATGAGGGCTCGGGCTTCTCTCTCTGAGCCCTCCTCCTCCTTTCAGGACTTCGCCCCACCCCCAGGTGTACAATGTCCTCTCATTCAGATCCATTTCATCAAAGGAAAACATTCCCCCTGAGGACTGAAGCATCTAATGAATGCTTGGCCCAGCTCAGATACCAGCCCAGACTCAGGCAAATCCCTCAACCTCTCTGCGATGCCCTTTATTCTTTCATAAACAGGGAGCTCACTCCTGCACTCCGCTGTGAGTAATAAGCGAGAAAACATTTGGTAAATTGTAAAGTACTATCCAAGTGAGTTGTTATTGCTGTTACCTATGCTAAGAGTACTTTCATATTAAGAGAGGACAGCTGGAACAAACCTTAACATAAATAAACACAGCTGACCCTTGAACAGCACAGGTTTGAACAGGGAGGGTCCATTTATATGTGGATTATATATACAATATATATATATTATATGTATATACACAATACAGTACTATAAATGTATTTTCTCTTCCTTATGATTTTCTTAATGACAGTTTCTTCTCTCCAGCTTCTTTTATTGTAAGAATACAGTATATAATACATAAAACATACAAAATGTGTATTGATCAATTGTTTATCAGTAAGTATTAGTAAAGTTTCTGGAGAGTCAAAAGTTACTGTCCCTGTACTGTTCAAGGTTCAGCTGTGATAAAATTAGTGCTTACTACATGCCAGGCACTGTTCTAAATCTTTTATCTGTAGTGCTCAATTGATCTGCACAACAACACTATGAGGTAGACATGATTATTGCCATTCCCTTTTTAAGATGAGGAAACTGAGGCACAGACAAGTGACTTGCCCAAGGTGGCAGAGCTAGTCAGCGGTGGAGCAGGGATCTGAACCTTAGTAGTTTAGTTCTGGAGTGCTCTTAAATCCCATGTTACTGTACTAGGAAATGAATCCCTAATATTGAACGTAGCACAAAGGATTCTTCATGACGATCACATTTTAGGTATCAATAAGAAAGATGCTTTTAGTCAAGCCTTTGTCCTTAACACCTGCAGTCCCATTAGCTCCATCTCACTGGATACCAGCAATGGCGCCTGTTGCAAAATCTCTGGACTCCCCAGCTTAAAATTCTTGAACGGCCCCCACTGCTGACAGGATCAAATCCCCAATGTTTAGCAATGGCACAGAAGGGCCGGTCCGTGGTCTGTTCCCTGCCCACTTCTTAGTCTTGGATGCTAGTCCTCTCCAAGTCAGCTCCTGCCATGCTGAGTTTCTCCAAGATCCCCATGCCTTCTGGCTTTGTCTACACTCTTTCCAGAATATCCATCAAACCACCAACTCATCTTTCAAGACCACTGCCACTGAAGCCCTTCCTCCCTCCTCATAGAGGACTGACCACGCCCCTTCTTTGCCTCTACTGTGTGCTACACTCAGAGCCCCTATCCCAGCAGCTGCTGCACCGTGCAGTTATTACACTTAGGTGCTCCTATAACCACATTCCCACTTTCCGACCTAAGCCGGAGGGCAGGCACCAGCTCCAACTCTAGCACCAAGCCCAAGCCTTGGCACCTGGCAGGCACTCGGGACTTATTCGTAAACGGATGACTAAATGCTCACAGGGTCTTCTGTCCCTCCCTTTATGCACATTCCATCATAGGATCTGATCAAATCTCTCTGCATTTCCCCAGTCTCCCATGGACCCTGTAGTCTGGAAGAGTCAAGTCATGGTGAAAACTCACTTTCCAACAAAGGAGGTGGATTGAGAAATGGGGGACAGAAGGAGAACAGACTCCAAGAACTCAGACTCCCAACCCAACACTTTTGTAACAGCTCTCTGGATTACGATCAGTTTACACAGAAAGTTGATCAAAACATTCCCAGGTGGTTTTTCTAGAACCACCTTGCCACTCAAACCCTTGTACAACTGCTGGGCTGGAAAGGCAGCTGGAGACAAGACAAACAAGGGCTGCCATTCACTGATAGAGCAGGGAAGGAGAATAAGAACTTCAAGTGGAAAAACAGGAATTTAGACTTACAGATTAAAAATTTCCCTCAAGATCTAAACGTTCCTGTTCTTGCTGAAAACTATACTCATTTGGCAAGATCTGTGTGGATAAATAGGACTTTTGTTTTAGAAGTAGTGTAAAAATAAGCGGTTCACAGGGTCAGTGGCTGGTCTTGACCGAGCAAACACATCGTGTAACGCCTGCGTGAAGGACAGGTGTGTCCGTGGACAGATTTGAGGGTCTGCTTGAGGGAGAGCCTTGAGCTGGGGTGTGTATGTGGGTCTGTGTAAGAAAGGAAAAATGGAATAGTTATGGGCTGCCTGGGCAGAGAGTCCTCTGGGGGGACTGCCCACTTTACACCAGAGCCCTGCTGCCCCGGGACTCCCTCAAATGACCAGGTTCTGTTTCTTAAGTTGGGATGCTTTAGGAAGCTCTTCAGAGACTGTAGCCACAGGCTGTTACACCTGTCCCCTTATTTTCCCCCAGAGCACTGGTTTGTTGGTTTGTTGGTTTGTTTGTTTAGAGAAAGAGAGAGAGAGCACAGGCGCGAGAGCATGCAAGGAGGGGTGGCCCCAGAACACTGGCTTTTATACTATGTTCCAAGGAACCCTGGATTTCCTGAAAAGGCCTTCTTTGAATTCAGTGGATGATCAGGCTGATAAAAGATTGTAACTTCCAGCTTTAGTCTTTGCTAGCAAAATGTTTTGCTCATCGGGGTGCCTGGGTGGCTCAGTTGGTTAAGCGTCTGCCTCTTGGTTTTGACTCGGGTCATAATCTCAGGGTTGTGGCATCGAGCCTGGCTTCTGCCTCTGCACCGCAAAGAGTATTCTTGTCCCTCTTCCTCTGTTTTCCCCCCACGCCAACTCTCTCTCAAATAATAAATAAATGAAATCTTTAAAAAAATATTTTATGCATCGATACAGCCTCATGGCTTTTCTAACCTAACTTTGATAATAATTGTTATGAATTAAACTATATAAATGTATACCTTTTATTTACTGTATCTATTATTTATAATTATAATCTTATATAAGGTTTCATTTTTACAAATTTCACTGCTTAGGGGGAAAAAAAAATTGCAACCTCTTTCCCTAGCTTTCCTAATCCCTCTACCCCTGAGCTACTTTTTCTTTTTGCCACAGCACCCTGCACGTTTTACTGTCTACCATACTATAATTTATTATATATTTATTATCATTACTGTTTATTGTCTGTCTCACCCCCCCCACCACCACCAGAATGTAAATTCCATGAAGATAGCGAACTTTGTCTATTTTGTTCGCTGATGTAGTCCAAGCACCTGGAATAAGACCTGGCAGATAGTAGAGGCTCACTAATTACTTGCTGAACGATCTCATTTTTGCTTCCAGAGTGATCGGTGGAGTATGGATCAGCAGGGTGCTTCCAGCGTCCAGAAAGCAGGGGTGGCCAGAAGGATGGTTCTCCTTCCTGTTTCTCCCCGTGTTTGTTGGTACCCGCCCCCCACCACCAAATTATATCCTCCCTCAGAAACATCACCTGAGTATTTGTCAGGGTCACACTGGTGGCAGGAAGTTTCCCCCTTATTTGAATAGGAGTTGGCTGGGCAAAGTTCACAAGAAGAAGAGCCCTGTTTGTCTGCATATGTGCCAGGTTTGCAGGGGAAACATTCTGAAGTGTAGGCCACCCCTAGGGAGGAAGAACAGCATGGAAAAGCAGGGGTTGAGCCTGGAGACTGAGCCCCCTGGGGGCTGACCCCCACCGTGCCCGCAGAGTCAGGAAGTCAGCAACAGGCCCCAGGCCCCGCCCCCCCATCGGTACCTGTTATGGCGATGTTTCTCACCAGCACAGGCTTGGAGACTTTGGACCACACTGAGAAGGCTGTGGTTCTCCAATAGAGGACATTATTGCCTCGGTTTAACTCGACCTAATGCCACAACCAGGAAGACAGAGATCCCTAATCCATCACATTAGCCTCTGGTGGGGACCCGTCCCCTTTACCCTCTGCAGGGCTGCACCTTTTCTGATCCCCTCCCTGGACTTCCTCAGCTTTGCCCTTTCTCCCAGCTCAGCTTAGCTCCTCTCTGCTTTGAAGCCTCCTCTTACCACCCTCTCGTGGCCCTCCCTCACCCACATATACCGCGAGTACCTCCAAGGTGAGACCCACAAGGAAGCCTGAAGGTACTGACAGGAGGGGTGAGTGGAGTTCCCTCATTCTTCTCTGGTTCTTTGTATCCACACCCGATCCCCAGAAGACCTGGCCTTAGAGCTGGCAAGCTGCTGATCCTTGGGGTCAGGCCATGGGTGCAAGTCATCTCACACCCATACTCTGTCAACTCAAGAGGACAGAAACTATGGCATCCTCCTCAGGTCAGATGCCTGCCCTTTAGGGACAGAGGGGTGGGATTCCAGACTGGGAAGAAGCTCTCCTTGGAGGAAAAGCCCATGGCCCCTTTGCTGGTATCCCCAGGAAAGGCTCCGGGGAGGCTGGTACAATACTCACACTGTGGAATTCCCATCCTTTCTCTGTGGTTTTTATCCACCTGGAGTCATCTACATTGGGCTGGCATTGGTCATTCTGAACCTGAGGAGGCAGGAGTTTGGGAAGAGAGTCTCAGCTTTCCAAGAAAATGGTTTCCTTACCACCACCCCCCGCCCCGCCATGCTGTCACGGCCATCCAGAGGGCCCTTCTTATGGGAGAAAAGCTGCCAGTTTCCTTTAGGGACTGAGCTCAGAACACATGAGCCTTGAAGTAGGGCGGGAGCTAGTTACACACAAAACATCAGGGCATCAACACCAAAGAGGGAACTTGTAACCCAGAAGCCTTTACATGCTGTTTTCATGTCTGTGCGGGCAGAACGCCTGGGGTCTCCTGGACCCTACTCTTCCCTTTCAGAGGCCCCCCACCTTCTGCCTTTCTCCTCGCCTCTGGAAGTCTCAGCTCATTTTGTCCACAGTTCTCTCCAGAGGGAAGACCACTGAGGAAAATCCCCAACCAGAAATATGCTTGTGATTCCTGTCAATGCATCTGAGCCTTGGAGAGTCTTTACCTCCCATCCTCCCCCGTGGCCAGGGGCTTACAAAAAACTCAAAGATGATGCTGGAGTCTGGGTAGTAGTACTCGAAGCTGACCGTGCCGGACTGCTTTAGGTTGACGGCGTACATCAGCGTGGCTGTGCATTCGTCTGTGTTGGAGGAGATGTAGTCACCCAGGGGAACCCACTTGGACCTGTGAGGGAACAGGAGCCAAGTTCACTGGTAGGGGCACGGCCCACCGTGCTTTGTGCAAAGTGCAGGTCTCATGTCCTGTTGGGTCTCTGAGGAACTCCAGACTTGTGATTCACAAATGGGAATTTAGACATGAACAAGAATGACCTCCAGATCAAGGAGCCCGGAGATACAGCTGACACAAGGAAGACAGGTAGGTGCGCCCCCACATTATACAGAACCATCCAGAAGATAGATGACAGGTGTTGTGAGGGGGAGCTGGGTAACGTTTATTGGTTGCTTACTATCTCCCAGGTACTGAACTACATGTTTTGTATTCATGACTTCTTTTCTTTCCCATTTAATGGATGATGAAACTGAGGCTAGGTGGATGCCTTGCCTGATGTCCCACAGCCAGCAAGTGGCAGGGCTGAGATTCAAACCCAGGTCTGCCTAACTCCAGAGCTGTCAGAGAAAGTCAGCAGACACTGCTGGTCTTCAGAACCCAAGAGTCCATCCAGTCTAGCCCACCTGTTTTTCTGGAAGTGCCCACTTTTAGATGCTGCATGTAACTGGTAACTGGGAAGAAGGAAGGCCAGAGCACCTCAGAGACGATCAATCTAGTCTTGTGATTTCATTTTCTAAATATCTTTCAACTTGGTCCAACCCTGCCCCGGGCTCTCCCTCTTCCTTGCACCGCCCACCGCCCAGCTCTGAACCAGCCCCTATCTCGCCTCCCTGTATCCAGTCCTGCCTCCTGCAATCCCTCCTCCATACTGCGGCTGCAGAGGTCCTCCAGAACAAAAATCTGACCATGCCACTTCCCTGCTGCCCTCAGAACAGGGCACAAATCCTCACCCACTCTCTAGACTCCAGCACGCCAGCATTTCTTCCTTTGTTTGTTTATTTATTTATTTATGTATTGGAGGAGGAGTGGCAGAGGGAGAGGGAGAGAGAGAAACTTAAGCAGGCTCCACAGCTAGCGCAGAGCCCCACATGGAGCTCGATCTCAGGACCCTGAGATCATGACCTGAGCCGAAAGCAAGAGTCAGACGCTTAACCAACTGAGCCACTCAGGAGCCCCTCCCTCTCTCTGTTTAATTCCTACTCGTGTCTTAGAATAAATGTCATCTCATGTGAGAAGTCCTCCTTGACTCTACCGACCTCTGCTATGTGCACCCTGAGCTCTCACCGATTCTCTGCTCATAGCCACAGCTTTTTTTTTACTTCACTTATACATACTATGAAAGATTAAAGACCACCACTGTGCTTAAGAAATACAATACAGGGGCGCCTGGGTGGCTCAGTCGGTTAAGCGGCTGCCTTCGGCTCAGGTCATGATCCTGGAGTCCCAGGATCGAGTCCCGCATCGGGCTCCCTGCTTGGCAGGGGGTCTGCTTCTCCCTCT